ATGGACAAGTTCCTGGAAACACACAACCTCCCAAGACTCAACCTGGAAGAAACAGAACTCCTGAACAGACAAATAATGAACAGTGAGATCAAATCAGTAATAAAAAACCTTCCAAAAAAACAAGCCCCAGACCAGATGGAGTCACAGCTGAATTCTAGCAAATGTACAAAAAAGAGCTGATACTGTACTACAGAAATTATTCCATAACATCAAGAAGGAAGAAATTCTCCCCAATTCATTCTGTGAAGCCAGTATCACCTTGATACCAAAGCCAGGAAAAGACACAACTAAGAAAGAAAACTACAGACTAATATTGCTTATGAATATAGATGCAAAAATCCTCCAAAAAATGCTAGGAAACTGAATTCAACAGAACATCACAAAAAATAATCCACCAGGACCAAGTGGGCTTCATCCCAGGAAGGAAAAAATGGTTCAACATAAGTAAATCAATAGATGTGATTCACCACATAAATAAAAGCAAAAACAAAGACCATATAATCATCTCAATAGATGCAGAAAAATCTTTCCACAAAGTCCAACACCCTTTCATGATAAAAACCCTCTACAAACTAGGCATAGAAGAAACATATCTCAAAATTACAAAAAGCCATATATGACAAACCCACAGCCAACACCATGCTGAATGGCGAAACATTAAAATCATTCCCCCGAAGAACTAGAACAAGACAAGGCTGCCCACTGTCACAACTTCTATTCAACATAGTGATGGAACTAGCAATCAGCCAAGAAAAAGAAACAAATTGTATCCAAATAGGGAAAGAGGAGGTCAAATTATCACTGTTTGCTGATGATAGAATATTGTATCTAGAAAACCTCAAATACTCCACAAAGAAACTCCTGGAATTGATAAATGAATTCAGCAGTCTCAGGTTACAAAATCAATGTACATAAATCAGTATCATTTTCACATAGAAATAACAGTCAAATTGAAGTCAAATCAAAGACTCAATACCATTCACAATAGCTACACAGAAAATAAAATACCTAGGAATACAGTTAACCAAAGAGGTGAAAGATCTCCACAAGGAGAACTATGAAACACTGGGGAAAGAAGTCACACAGGACACAAACAAACGGAAAAACCTATGTTGCTCATGGATCAGTACAATCAACATTGTTAAAATGTCTGTATTACCCAAAGTGATTTACAGATGCAATGCAATCCCCATCAAAATACCAACATCTTGTTTCACAGATCTAGAAAGATTAATCCTATACTTCATTTGGAACCAGAAAGGAGCCTGAGTAGCTAAAGCAATCTTAAGCAAAAGAACAAATCTGGAGGTATCACATTACCAGGCTTCAAACTACACTACAAAGCTATAGTAACCAAAATAACATGGTATTGGTAGAAAAATAGAGACATAGACCAATGGAACAAATAGAGAACCCAGACATAAAACCATCTACCTACAGCCAACTGGTCTTTGACAAAGCAGATAACAACACACGCTGGGGAACTGAAACCCTATTCAGTGAATGGTGCTGGGAAAACCCAATAGCCACATGCAGAAGAATGAAACAGGACCCCCTATCTCTCACCGCTCAGAAAAATTAATTCAAAATGGGCAAAAGCCTTAAATGTAAAGCATGAAACCATGCTTTCTAGAGGAAACTGTAGGAAAAACTCTTCTAGATATTGGTCTCGGCAAAGAATTTATGACTAAGACCCTAATGGCAATCACAGCAACAACAAAAATAAATCAATTGGATTTGACGCTCTAATTTTCAAACTTCTAACCATTTAGAAATTTCCTTATTTCTGTTCAACAGAAACCTTCCTTTCTCTAGTTTCTCTTAAGTGCTTTAATAAAATGTTTTGTTGTTGTGTTTGAATATATTTTGTTTACCTTGTTTTTAAAGGATATATAAAATTCATTTTTAAAATTATCCCAGGTATTTCAGTTCTAAATTGTGTCCAGTTAAGAACTAGACAGAAAGGGATAGGCAGAGAGAAAGGAAAAAGAAGGAAGAGATATTAAAGAAGAAAGATTACATATAGGGACACCCTGTGATGAGAAAGCCGTTTCAGAAACAGATTTAGAAAGTAAGAGGTACAGTGAGAGAGAGAGAGAGAGAGAGAGAGGAGGGAAGGAAGGGAGAGAAAGAGAAGGAGGAGGAGGAAGAGGATGAAGGGAGAAGATGAGGAGAAAAAGAGGAATGGGGATGGAAAGAAGAAAAAAACGAAACTGGGCTGGGAGGATTTATACTTAAGTCATGAGAGTGGAATGACACACTAATCTTGGCTTCTGACAGTGAATATGTACATCTTGGATCTTTACTAAAGCTGTCAAAAACAAAGAGCACACTGAATTATGCACTGCTCCTTTTTGGAAAATGAAATACAGTCTTCTAGATTGAATCACATGTAAACATTGCAGGAAGTCATTATGTGCATTAATTCTTACCTAAAATGTAAACAAGGACATTTTTGAAGATGTACTTTATTTCACTTTTTGTGGAGAATAAAATCTATATCATATCTCTGAAAATTAGAAGAACTCATACCAATTCACAAGAGAAATGTAGAATCTTCTTTGTGTAGAATTATTCTTATCTATTTTTTTAGTGTCCAGCTATGGAAGATTTTTAGAACAATGTTCTATTTTGATAGCTGTAGCCATGAGCGATAATATTTCTTTGTGTTTGTCTTGTAGGTAAGAAACAGTGGCCAGAATTCTAAAGGCTAATTCCAAAGGGAGGATTCATTGTCTCTAATGTAGTTATAACAGGTTTATTGGTTGAACCAAAATTGAGATTTAACTTTTCTTGAAACCATTTCCCTGTCAAATATCACATTTTCCATTCTATAAAGTTTTCATGTTTATTCTTCAAAAACTGGATCCCTTCACTTTTTACCACTTCTTGTACATAAAATAGAAGAGGCATGGATGTAGAGATAAAAGGCTTAAAATGCAAAATGGTTCAAATTTTTACAATATTTAAGCAATTAAAAATGATCTCTTAGCTCTATTCAGTAGATTTAGGGCAGTCTAGCGGAGAAGAAAGGACAGCGGACTTGAAATCTGAAGGCTTAGTTTAGGTCCTGGCTCTGACATTTGCATTCTCTGCAATCTGGTCATACTAATTAACCTCACCAAGCTTCAATTTCATTATCTGTGAAATTAACGGTTTGCACTAGACTTTGTCAGAGTTAAAAATTGGTAGGAATGAGGTTGACAGCTTATTTTTAAGTGACCAATGAAACCCTCATATCTCTTTAAATCAAACTGCAAAGAAAGAAGCCTCCTGACACTGATGTTTCTTTTTTTTTCTCATCCTATCATCTTCAAAAGTTATTTGCTCACAGAAAGTCACCTCTTGAAGACTTAAAACCCATATATTTGAAGTAGTCGATGACATAATGTATGAGTTCTTTTTACTTCAGTGATCTGTGTTCTAATATCTCAACTCATTGCATGCTCAGTGGCCATGGGATAACTGTGACAGAGTGGGAAGAAAAGTATCCTATAAATACTGGGTACTTTTGATTTAGAAGTACAATTTAGACAGTTAACCCAAAATTGTTACTGACTATAAAGCAGGATAATCCTTAAGCTACTGAGCAGCCAACAAAACCTAAGAATGGGTTAACATTCTGAAAAAGGCTACAGTAAAAAAATGTGATTGGGAGTGAAAACAGAATGACGTCATTTTACAATGTAGGTTTCTATAAAGTGATGTCAAGTTTGTTCTCAGTATTTCTGTACAGAGCATTGGTTTGAGTACAGTAATCTAGTCACTTGAATCCAAAAGCTAGGAAGTTTTCCATTCATATCAAATTCCAGATAGCTACACATGGAAGGCTGGAAGAGGCATTTATCAATATGAGAGCCTACTCACCAGGACTGTAAATCCTGGGGGGCTAAAAAGCATAGAATACTATGTGAAGACATCTGTACCTAAGACACACCTGTGGGAACTGACTCAGTGATGGTATCGCTCTTCTAGTGTCCTCAGATTAGAAAACTGTTTCAGAAATGTTTCTCCAGAAATACCCTTACGTATAATGAAAGGTTTGTAAAAAACCACATTGGTTTTCCCTCTTTACATTTCTATCCACATACTCAAAATAAGAATAATAGCTAATAAAGGCTGAGAACTTGCAAGGTACCACTCTCTTCTAGCATTTTTAAATTGCATAAGGTGCTTTAGAAGCTATTTTCAGTCATTTTTTAAAACATCACTCTTAAAATTGCCTTTGTACCATGACTTTAGCCATTGATTGAGGGTAAAATAAGAAATATAAAATTAAGCTGTATCCAAATTACCCCTACATTCCCTAGGGCTGAAAACAAGATTAAAAATTTACCAAATTTCGGCCGGGTGCAGTGGCTCACGCCTGTAATCCTGGCACTCTGGGAGGCCGAGGC